TGCAATAGCATTTGTAAAAACGTATATACAGTGGACTCCCAATAAACGAAACTCGCTTAAACGAAAATGCCTCATTAACGGAACTAAACGGGCCCATATAGCTGGATTTCTGTGTTTTGCACAGTAAAATTCATCGGTTAATCGAAACAGTGCTTATTGGTCACCTACGGGTAAACGGCACAAATTCTAAACACAGCTTAGACTCGCTCATGCCAAAAGTAGTCTTGCAACCATGGCAACACCTTTAGATCGAGACAAGCCAATCCAGTTGCCATTCTCGCTTGTGGCTGTGGGAACCAAGGAGGTTCTATAGAACCTCTGGAGTGGCAGTCCCGGCCCCCGCCAACGTGAGCAAGTGAAGCCGGCGGTGGCCATATTGCTAGAGGAAAAACAGGGCGGAACCGCCATAGACCTCAATGAAATATGTGCGTTGTGCGCGTCGGTTTGCAGTTCCACGATAAAAAAAAAAAGAGATGGAAACCACATTTAGCTTACACATACGAATAAATGACTCTTCTTGTTTATAAAAAAAATTATTTCATGCACCCATTGTCAGCTGCATGCTTTTGAGATCAATCTGTTGTTGAGGGATGCTTCGTGTATCGAGCTTGCTGGCGCGCTATTGTGGTACAATATGGTTGCAGTATGATTGTGTGCTTTAGGAAATGTGCCTGCAGATACTCGAGATCAAGGGGAACGCGACATTTGCTTGTCTCTTTCATATATGTGCTTGTGCGTGTGTTGGCAGATTACCAGAGAATATATATAAAGAAAATGAAGTAATTAAAGCTAAATTTAGAAAAGAGAAGTAATTAAGTAAACTGAGAGTCACCAGTAATTTTTCTAGAACTATTGAACTCTAATCATTTTACAAGCAGAACCGAAACGGAAGCACCGATATTGCCTGATATCGACAAACTCCAGGAGAAGTACCCCAAATGAACCGTTTATAAGTACTATTGCAGTGGTGTTAGTTCTGCATAATATTTATAGACTGTTGTTGGCAACGTGTGCTGTTATGGCAAGCGCAGCCTTCGGAGCCTAGAAACGAGGCAGCTCGATGTTTGATACAACGCCACTCACTCAGTTTGGCAGCTTCGTCTATCGGTGTTTTGGTTTCGTCGGCAAGATAGAATGGATTTTAAAGGTGTCTCATCTTGTTTTAGATGCAATTGCTTATTATTGTGACTAAATTCTATTGAAGCTACGTCAAGGAGGTAGAAACTAACAGGTTTTTGCAGATGCGCTCGGAAAGCAGAAAAAATAGAGGGTGCTCTGCCAGGCCGCAGTCTGGTTGTCTGCCCCGTTCTGTCGAAGCAGCATTCTTCGAAGTGGATGGAGCAGAGGTGGTCACCTTCACCTCGGTAGCCCTCGAACTATTTTTTCGAACAGCATGTTACCAGGCAGAACGCAGCGCACCGCCTTTCGGAAACCTGTAACACGGATAATCACGGCATGGAATTATTCTCTACATCTGTGAATTTCTGGATAAACATGCAACAAATTCGATATTCACTCGCCAAAAGAATATGCATACTGAATATGCACTGACTGGCAGCAGGAGCGGTTTAAGGAAATTTTGATGAGCTTTGAGCCACGAGACGTCTTCACCGTCGAGGAGATGGGTCCCTTTAAAGGCGAAGCCTGTAGGGGAGGAAAACGCAGTAAAGATCGCATCACTGTGCTGGTGGGTGCAAACATGGCAGGAGATAAGAAATTGAAGCTGTTGGTAATAGGGGAATCAAGGCACCCACGTTGTTTCAATGGCGTTCGACACCTTCCCGTTACGTACCATGGGAACAGAAAAGCGTGGATGACCATGGCCATTTTCGAAAACTGAATTTGGGAGGAAGACGCAAGATTTACGAGGCAAGGCAGGAAGGTTGTCTTCATCGTGGATAATTGCCCAGCCCACGGTCAGGTTAAATTACTCCAAGCCATCATTGTGGAGTTCTTGCCAGCCAATGCAACGGCAGTGATCTAGCCAATGGATCAACGGGTTATTCAGAACATTAAAGTTCATTACCGCAGACAATTGCTCCATCAAATGCTACATAGAGCAGGCAGCGGGAAGTGCTACAGCATAGATTTATTGGCATCCATCCACATTTTGGCTTGCGTCTGGGAGCAAGGGAAGGCAACAACAATACACAGATGCTTTCACCATGCTGGCTTTCAAGCGCAAGAAAGCAGTACCTGATGCTGACATTGAGACAGTGTTCAGTCAGGTCGTGCCCTCTGCCCCTTTTACGCTGCAGGACTACGAATCAATTGATGAAAATGTTTGTACCTGTCGTTAAGAGACTGTCGAGGAAATAATGGCTGAAGTGCAAGATGAGGATCAACCTTTCGGCGATAAATGTGATGACAATACTGCCAGCGCAGTGATGTCACCAGACCGATCAGCTAAAGAGGCTGTTCAACTATTGTAGCGCTATTTTGAGCATGAGGCTTGTCCAATATTTCTAGCTAGTTTGTCAGGCATGGGTGCGTACCTTGTGAAAAAAACTATTCAAGCTTGCCAAACAAATCAATCTTCACTCATTTTTTTTCTTCTACTCATTCTCATGAGTAAGGTGAGGTTTGTGCAATTTCAATAAAAGTCTTGGTTCACTAAATAAGTGTACTTTGCTTAAATGAAACTTCTGATAAATGGAACAGTTTTATGGATCCCCTTCGAGTTCTGTTTAAGAGGAGTCGACTGTAATCTTTTTATAACAATGAAGTGGTTGTGCTTTGGATGTGAGCTACTTGCTGTTCAAGCTTTGTGGCGATTATGGAGATTACGGCTGCAATAAATGCCACCATCGTCACTCAAACTATTGTATTGTTCCAATAGCTTTTTTCATACCAATGGAACCGAAGAAATAAATAAATGAAGGGCACCACAGTGTTTCATTGTAACAATGTAGCACCTGTGGTAATCATTGCAGGAATGTATGTTATGGATGATTGCTTGATGGGCTGGTTGGTTCATTTTATAATTTGTAACAGTGCATAAAACTAGACAAGACAGCACGGACAGAGAGCAAAGAGCACTCGCTGCAGAACTTTTTATGCAGCATTTTTTTTCTCTCTGTCTGTTCAGTCTTTTCTAGTTTTATGCGCTGTTATTTATGTTCTTTTTATCATCATCCTCAGTTTCGACGTGGGAGGCATTGCTTCAGTCCTGCTGTAGTCTCAGCTTCTGGTCGCCATTTAGGTTTTGAATGTATGTGTGTTAGTGTTATCCGTGTGGTGCAATTGTTGTTTATGTGTTCCTGCCAAGCTTCATAATGTCGTACAAAAACATCAACAATGTGCTCCGAGGTGCTTTCAAGGCCTGCGTGTAAAAGAGTTACTCAGAGGCTGGCAACCCTGCTATACTGCCAACCCAGACTTTTGACAGTGTGCCTGAGAATGTGGCTTTGAATTTACACTCACGCCTCATTATAATGAAGTTGAAGGGGAGCCACAATTATTTGGTTATATCTGTTATTTCGTTATATCGACTATAACTGTTTGTGGCAATGTATGCTCAGATGAGCACACACCTATAAGCATGCAAAAAAGGAAACCACCGTGCCGCCTGATGTACCGCTACGCGACCACGCGTGTGATGGAAAATAAACACAGTCGAACCTCATTAGTTCAAACACGTTTCATTCGAACTTCCGGTTCATTCGAACTCATGCTGAGGTCTTGTTAAAGCTATCTATTTCAAAGGGTGAAAACGCCCTGTAATTCGAACGGGCGAGCACTTGCGATGATTAATTCGAACATACCGTGTTCCGAAAATGCTCTCAGCACCATGCCCAATCCCACGGCGGCACCTCTCAACGCTGCGCGCAAAGGAAAAGAAAAAAAGGAAAGACTGGGGCGCATTGTTTGCTCTCTCTCAAATACCAATCTGCGACGTGCCTGTGCCACGCTTCTCCCTTTTCTATCTCTGCATGTAGAGAGCCTTCTCCTTTCAAAACCGCACGTGGAGAGAGAGGAAAAAAATAAAATAAAAAAAGCTGCCGCGGAGAGTCCTCCTTTCTCGGTGCAGTAGGTATCAGCGGAGACGCAGTCGTTGCCGTCATATTTAAGGCGCATAAGTGAGAGGGAAATTGATTTGCACCGCAGCACCGCTTCTCGGTCATGTGACCCGCTGAACGCTTCCTCAATCCTCTCCACTGGCTGTGTGAAAAGGACGGCTCTCTCGACTGCGCGTGGCGTGGCTGTAAGGTCGGCGCGGTAGTTTGAAAGAGCCGCGCCAAATGAGCATCAAGCTCTGCAGAAAAAGATATACTTAACACACTACGGTCGGTTTTTTATTTTTGCTAGGCTGTTTGATTGAATAATTTAGTTCGTTATATCCATTTACAGGTCAATTTTACTTTGTTACAACGAAATTTAAAATGCATGGTTCTCAATGGAGCTCTCAAGGGGAATTTCATTTACTTTGTTATATCCATTCTTTCTTTATATCCCGCTACGTTATAATGAGGTTCGAGTGTAGTAGAATAAATATTGGCTTTCTGAACCTCAGGACAGCATTATTTACAAGTTTTATGTTGCTGCTTGCAGAGGACGACAGTGCATTTCGCCATGAACAAACTCTGCATGCGTCGCTCCGTTAATAGAGTTAAAAATAGGTTCACCCAATATATCCCGCAAAAGTAGTAAAATGTAGGGTGTGTGTTTTATACAAATGAGCCGCTTATACACGAGAAATATAGTAATGCACTACGATATTTGATCTGAAGTTGACACACGAGATTGTCTTGTTTATTACAATGGAATCCACAGATGCCTAATATGCAGTAACCCTTATTTTATTTTATTTATTTTGTTTAGAGCGAGAGAAATTCACTGTTAGATGTGCCACTTTCCGAAACAGAAAATTATATTTTGTGTTACAGTGAAAAAAAAAAATTTTATACAGAAGACACAGTGATGCTAACACTGAGCTTCTACATAAACTGATTGTTTAAACGGTAAATTGTAACAAGGTGTAATTGATATTTGCTCCTCAGGTGAAGGCCATAGACCTTGACGAAGGCCCCAACGGGCAGGTTGTGTATTCCCTGCATGAGGGAGATGGCCACCTGTTTTGTGTTGATCAAGACTCGGGAGAGATTCGGCTGATGCGCAGCCCTGGCCGCCCAGACGAGTACGCCCTGGTGCTGGTGGCTCGAGACCAGGGTGAGCTTCATATGACAAGCATGAACTTTTATGCATGGTACACGAGTGTTGAAGATTGGGCGAGTTGGTTCGTCGTACTTGAACCGGTATAGCGCATTATGGGGAAGAAGAAACGGCCGAGCAGACCGACACAAGAGAACAGAGCACTAACAGTTAGAAGTTAGCGCTCTGTCCTCTTGTGTCGGTCTGCTCGGCCGTTTCTTCTTCCCCATAATGCGCTATACCAGTTCAAGTATGCATGGTACCTTTCTTTTTAATTTAGCATGCAAGGCACTGAAAATTTAGTACCAGCACTGGGCAGCGAAACGAAGGAATTTCACTGAAACCGGGCAATACATTTTTGTTGAACCTAAGAACCATATTTACATGGTACATCACCTTTGCCTCAGCGGCAGTACACCATACACAGAAAGCACACAGAGAGTGGCATATTCACCACAGCACAAATAAAAACGCTAATGCAGAACTACGAAAAAGGCCACAGGACAAATTTATGAACTGACATAATCTTGTGCAGTCTGCGAAAAGTTGTGCTCTCGGAGCACACAGAGGCAGCAGTTGTGGTTGGGGAAACCAAACTACATAACAATGAGGTACCACGAATGCAGTGTCACGAATGGACAACTCACCACAAGAGATCTATCGTATAAACAGGACTATAGGTCGAGTGGGAATATAGGTCGGCCCCCCAAGTTCAGGTTAACGAAAAAAAAAGGAAAACAAACTGAATGTGCCGAACCACATTTATTTTTTAATTGGGCGCACCGCACCCGGATCGTCGGAGCTCTCCTCAACCACCATCGCAACTGCTCCTATTCGTCCGACGAAGTTTGTCGCTGGCTCTCTCCCACAATGCGTCATCTTCAATGCCATCCAGTGAATTGCTCATGCAACATTTCTTGAAAGCATTTTTCACCATGGAATATGGCAAGGAACGCCAGGCGGAAAGCACCCAGTTACAAACATTTGCAAGCGGAGGCCTCTGTAGGCAGCCCGTCGGTGTCTTGGGGTTGTCGCCGGACATCCACTCTTGCTATTCCAGCTGCACTCGGTCCTTGAACGGCTTGTTTAGCACAATGTCGATGGGCTGGAGGGTGGACGTCATACCACCTGGTATCACGGCGAGGTCCGTTTTCCCGTCGCCGAGTGCGCGTTTCACTGTGTTGGTCAAGTGGCCACAAAACGCATCCAACACCATCATGCTGCAAATACGCAGCAGTGCTCCTGGCCGACGGTTCCACACCACTTTTATCCATTCGAGTATGATGGCCTCGTCCATGTATTCCTTTTTGTTGATGCGAACGAACGACAACACTGGGTGGGAACACTTCCTTCGCCATTGTCTTGAGTTTGAAAATGATGAAAGGCGGAAGCTTTCTATCATCTGCCATGCATGCCAGTATGACGGTGAAGCGCGAGTGCTCGTTGCCCGTGGACAACAGCTTCACATTTTTGCCGCCGCGCTGCATGCTCGTGGTCGACAAAGGCATGTCAAACCACACGGCGGTCTCAACAGCGTAGCCAATCTGCCTCATCATGTAGTCGTTCTGCTCCCGAAGCTGGTTCACGAAGCGCTGAAAGTTTATAAGCTTGTCCTCGAACTCCTCCGGCAACTTCTGACAGATGGATGTGCGCCACCGGAAAGAAAATCTTTTGCGTCTCATGAATCGACGCACCCAAGAGTTTGGTGCACGAAACTTTTTTCTCGTGAGCCCAACTTCTCGAGCGATTTCCACGGCTTTCTTGTGAATGGCATCAATGGTCACTGGCAGTGAGCGCACACAAACTTCCCGCACAAAGTCCGCTAGCTTATTCTCCAGCTGTGGATGAACGGCATTTCATCCATGAAATAACATTTTTCGAGGATTGCTTCCCTCCAATAGCGCACACTTTTTTCCGATACACTAAAGCGGCACTGAGCAGCCATATTCCGGTTTGTTTCTGCGAACTCAACAACATCTAGTTAAAACGCAGCTGAGTACTGCCTCCTCGTACCCCTATCCATATTCAGTGAAAAAAAAAAAAAAAAAAAGACCACTAAAAATGCAGCGTAATGTCAAGTGGAGCGAAAACTCGGAACAGATAGGCAAATCACGAACACAAAGAAAACAGATGGAGAGAAAAAAAAACAAAAACAGCCTGCGATTGGATTTGGATGCGAATATAGCCACGTCCGGCTTCTCAGGCACATGCAAGCCACATGTTGCCAGACAGCGGCGCACTTTCGGCTAGACATTGCTATACAAGACGAGGGGCGACTTTAGCTTATAATTTTATTGAAAATATCTCGACTTATATTCCGGTTTATACCGTACATGAGACGACTTACAGTTTCGTCGCCATGACCACACCGTGGGAGTTTTCCATTCACGCAAGCCACCAAACTCTCAAGAGTATTCCTAATGTTTTCCGTGCGGCCACCTAGCCTTGCCGCCAGGCGACGCTGCTGGTGCTACCGCACTAACCATAAGGATGATCCTGCGCGTGCACTGCACCACCTCCAGCTCATCAACTGTTAAGCATAAATGCAGCTTACCTGCAAGATGCACGCACACCCTGAGGTACGAATCACCTTACAGGGTTTATAGCACCCCCATATCTCCCCAACCTACATTCAAAACATATGCTAAGGAACAAAAACTGCTGCACAAGCTTTGTGTGTGAAAAAAAATTGGCCCTTAAAAAAGAATATCCACGCACCACAATGCTGATAATAAACACCGCTGCACTGGCTCAACGACTTGACCTCAGTTCTAAACCCATAACGGCAACGTGACCGTCAAGGCGAAAAATCATTACTCGCACCAGATCGTCTTTTGGTTGCAAGCAGCACGCACGAGGCAACCGTTGTGCAGGCAGCTGCGCAGGTCCCAGGCACAGCTATCATTTAAGATGTCTCTACCGCATTCTTAGCCAGTGGCGAAGACTATGGGCAGACAACAGCCACCCATGGGTTACATCACTCTCACACTCGTAACATACTCGACAGAATATTTCATCATCATGGTCAGTTCGGCTAGCAAATACATCGGGGGTGATGCAGACGCTCAGCTCAAATAGCAAAAAGGTCGCTTTCTTCGTTATTTGCAAACAAAAAAAAAAAAAACGCCAGGCATGTGTGGTTGGCGCAGCACTGTCACTGTGAAAGCTAGAAGAGCGCCTTTCAGAGCTTTTTCAAAACACTCCTGGGGTATCTACTGCAAGTACACTTGCTTAGTACCCACTAGGGCATTAATAATAAACTTTTGGGTAGTAGGCCGGCATTCGCTATGATAATTTTTGTCATTCTTTTGAAAAGCTTGGTATTCGCTAAGCACTTGCTAGGAGTTTTGTGCCACTTGTTCATGCAGTGGCAGACGAAGATGAAGACTTATGGCTCAAGTTGGTAGGCACCACAGTCAATTAGGAAAACAAGAACAAGTTTTTTTAATGGGTTGGAGTATTTAACGGCTCATTCCTTACGCTAATCGCATTGTGCTCAACTGGTTGTTGTTTCGCTGTTGTAAAACGCTTTATAAGTCGTAATAACGCGATTGCTTTCCCGACATCAAGCCTACCTAAGGCAAGTTTGACAAGTCACAAGCACCGTAGTAGCTCAGTGGTAGAATACTGAGCTTACACCCAGTGGACCCGGGTTCGAGCCCCACTATGCCATTGGTGCTAGGTCATGCCTGTTTAAGGCAAGTTTGACCACAAGTTACAAGCACCAGCGAAACTCAGTGGTAGAATATTGGGCTGGCACCCAGCGGACCCAGGTTCCAGCCCCGCTGTGTCATTGGTGCAAGGTTTTTTTTCTAATTTCGCGCGATGTGGTTACGGACACCGGGGGCGGCGGCGGTGGACAACATGCAACTGCACCTGACCCGAGTTGTGATCTCATAACAGCTTTTGCTGTAAAAAAAAATAAGGGAAGCAAAGTGCCACACCTCAATGCCACGATCTAACGAGGTGTGTCTCACATGCGCCAGGTGGCTCCGCAGAGTCTTAGGCCTAACAAGACGTTTGAGAACAACTGGCACGCACCCAGCATAAGTGCAGAAAAGGGAACTGTGATGAGACATCAGCTATGTAAGGTGGCCCCACTTGCTTGCCGCACACAACAGCTTACCGAGCGATAGGCGCCCACCGTCCCTTAGCCAATGAGATTCTCCCTTAGTCAATGAGATTGAAGAAGCTATTTGCCGAAAACTCGGACCACCTACGATATTTCTGTACTCACTTGCTTCGGGCATGGCCTGCAATGCACATGCTCTAAACTTTGCTCTCCCCTGAATGCTGACCACGTGGCACTTGTACCAACAGCTCAACGACGTTCTTAAAAAAAAAAAAAAATGTTTCGCAACAGAAATAGTTTCAACACGCTGACAAGGACGAGTTCCATTATGCCACAGCAATCGATCTCTTCGCTCTCAAGAAAGCACCCCACAAACACTAGCGATGCAAGTTTTTCTTAGGCCTTGTGTAAAACGGCTAAAAAGAAAAAAGTTCCGAACCACGAGAATTGTCGTACGATGCTCTAAAAGCCCCACATTTGATGTGGGAGTGCTATCAAGGTCGTTACCGCCTCATGGTTCAAGAATCTTGTGCGAAACCGCATCTAAGTTTAACAGCTGTTGAGTGAGAGATGGTATTGTGCTCACGTGGGATCGTCATCATTATGGTTAGCGCTGAGGCTAGGTGGTCACAAAAAAAAAAAAAAAAATATGGAGATGGACTTTTTGCGCAGAGATCCGTGGTCAACGACACTATAGTTTGTTTCGTGGTGATCTCTCATGGTGAGTCGAAAGTTGTTGACGCTGTCTTCGCATTTTTTTGTGTTTATTTAATTGATTGAATGTATTTGAAAACAGTTAAACCTGGATGTAATGAAACTGACAAATTCTCAGAAAAAACCGCTGTAAAGAGTGTAGTGACCCCCGCTCTTACTGCAGCGGACGATCACCGCGAGTTCACGCTTAGCGAGCCACAGGGCCGCTACTCCGTTTACTCGCGTGTAGCGC